ACAACACCCTTTTTACCCTGTCAAAAACAGCTCCGTTTCCAGCAAGCCGTTTTAGTGCATGTCCCTTTAAATGCTAATGAGCTCTGCTGACCCCTCCCCTCTCTTCCGAGCCGCTCTCTGAGAGACTCTTAACTTTAGCTGCATTCATCGCGAAACTTGCTAACTAGCTCATTATTAGGAAAGGCAATTTGCAAAGATTCATATAAAAAAACATATACTCACTTCTTCTGTAGGTGAAGCTGAATCACGAATGATTCGCACGAACATAAACAAATTTATGTAGATCGGGGGAGCATTCCCTTGAAAAACAAACATAATCCACTGCGTCTTCAGCGGCTCAGATGTCGGGAGTAAACGACGACTGCTATGTTCATTATTACATCCAACAACAGAACACCTCAATGGCTTAGGAGTCATTCTTGTCTACATCTGCTCCGGCGGTGAAACAATGGCGGACTGATGACAGCATCAACAATCGTGGGAGGGGCCTGTCTGTGTGACATCACACAGCCAAGAATCTGAGAACAGCTTGATCTGAGAAAGGGGTTATCATTTATCGCGATTTTAAAAAAGCACTGGGTGGATTTTTATCATTTTAGGGTGGTTGTGTACACACACTGCCAACACACATTTCAGTTCAAACAACATGTAAAAGTGCATGCAGCATCCGATGACCCCTTTAAGCACTCATAACTCCTCTTATAATCAATGAAGCTGTCCATACACTGTATGATAAATTAATCTCTTACATCGTACATACATCTGCACTTTGTTGCTTATGATGAGGGAATTCGTGAGTTTCAGTCTGAATCAATCTGAACGCCTCTGATTGGCCGCTGCATTCCTAAGCTCAACAGAATCTTGTGTAGTTGGTTATAATGAGCAATGCTGTAAAAACGCATAAAAATGAAATATGTAACATGAGCAAGTCTAAATTTAATACAGCAATCAAAACTATTCATTTATTTTCACTAGTTTCATGTTTAAAGTATTATAGTTTTATTGAAAAACCAGGGGATCCCCCAAGTATATACCCCCACACACACACACACACCTCCCCTCAATTCAAACACTGGTTCTGTCTCCTTTTGCTCCTGCTGCATTACTGCATTTTATTGGCATGAAAATATGGAATTGTAACATAATCATAATCTTATATAAAGTGTAATTGTAGCATATTTATTTTTCCTTACCTTTGCACAGCCACTGAAACATGAAAGTGTAATATGACACAATAGGTTGGTTTTATCGTATTTAATAAATTACATTAAAGCTGCAGTCTGTAAGTTTTGCCTCTTTGTTGCCATCTCTGTTTGAAAACCTGTAATTGCAGCTGTGTGAGGAATTATCTTCCCTGCGCGGGCTGTGCTCCGGCTCGGCTCCAGCGCGGATGAATCTAATGCTCTGAGGAGTATGTGTGTGTGTGTGTGTGTGGCAGTCAGTCACCGCACCGGTGTGGATATTTACTGTACTTCACAATCACAGATTCTAGCCTACATCTTGGAATATATGACCCAAATAAGCATTTTCACCGTATATTGTCATCTGAACAAATAACAAGTCTGCCACGTTTGTTCTGACCAACTGAGGAAAAAAGCATTACCATAAATCTCGCTACCAATGGTGATTAAATCTAAAGATCGGTTAGCTCATATCACATCAAACCGTTCAAATTATT